AGGCTGAGAGAGCTGGGACTGTTCAGCCTGGAGAAGAGAAGGCTCAGGGGGATCTCATCAATATGTATAAATACCTGGAGGGAGGGTGCAAAGAGGATGGAGCCAGGCTCTCTTCAGTGGTGCCCAGTGACAGGACCAGAGGCAACGGGCACAAACCGAAACATAGGAGGTTTGCCCTGAACGTCAGGGAACACTTTTTCACTGTGAGGGTGACTGAGCACTGGCACCAGTTGCCCAGGGAGGTTGTGGAGTCTCCATCCTTGGATAAGTTCAAAAGCCATCTGAACATGGTCCTAAGCAACCGGCTGTAGGTGGCCCTGCTTGAGCAGGGGGTTGGACCAGATGACCTCCAGAGGTCCCTTCCAACCTCAACCCTTCGGTGATTCTGTGAATTTCCTTTTGTCACAGGGTGGCTGGTTGCCGGGGCTGTCCGGAGGCCACCACGGTGACACCACATGGTATCACAATGGCTGCTGAGAAGCTGCTTCTTGGGAGCAAGGGAGGGAGAGACAACAGAGAGGAAATCCCCATGAGGTGGCTCTGCCACTCATTGGGCACCACTCAAATCCTACTAATCAATAGTTTCCTGGGAAATCAGGGGCGCTTTTCCAAAAAGGCCTCAGAAGGGGCTGTCCTAGACCCCACTCAACTCTCTGGTCTCCCAATGGCAGAGAAAATACCAGTTTCCAGCGGGTTTCCAGCATCCTGGTGGAGGGGCTCGGATTCAAACTGGTCTCGCCACATTGCAGCAACACTCCAGGCTCAACCCGCTGAAATTCAATAAAGATAAGCCCAAACAACCGCTCTGGGGAAGGCGAGCCCCAGCGCACAAACTCGGTTACATGGGGCTCGCCGGAGAGGCAGGAGCGCTGCAGAAATGGACCTGAGGGTGAAGCGCGGCCACAGGGATGTCAGCAGTGTGGCGCTCGTAGAAAAAGGCAAATGTTTTTCAGGAGAGCTGTGGGTGAGACACAGGGGGTGAGGAGGAGGCTGCACCAGGGGCCCAGAGGGTCTATGGCCTCTGTCTTCACGTGCTGTGTTTTGAGCTGAATCCGGGCAAATGGAGTACGGAGATAGTAACGAAAAGGATGAAGTCTTGGACATGTGGAGAAGGAGGGGTTTTCGAGGCAGCGCTCTGACTTCTCCCACAGTGTCATTCTCTTGGCCGGGCAAAATGAAGACAGCATTTAAAAAACTGCAGCGTTGCCCTTTTCTTCAAGTTGCACTTCATGTTTCCAGCTCTGCTCATGCTCTCCTTTGGGGTTTTGTCAGGCTTCAGAAAGGATGCGATGCTGAACAGACTGACGTGACAGCAGGTAGTCACACACACGTATGTATATGTACTACATATTTGGTGGTTCTGTGGCGTTTTAAGTTTTCAAAGCACTGTGCTAATATTAACCAGCCAGTCCAAGGGGCTTGTGTCCCATTGCATTTATGATAAAGCATGATGGCTCTGTGTCGCCTGACATTTATTTATGGGAACTTCACAGGAGCAGCTTTTATTTTATTAGGGGACACGCTTTCATTGGAGTCCTTGCAGCCAAGCACTGAGCAGCGTGCACGAGAAGAGAGAAGAGATGAACATCCTAAAAGATATTTATAGATCTGTGTTCCCAGTCCTTTCCTCTTCAGTATGAAAGCAATTCTACAAAAGGATTATTTTGACTGGCTGTTAAAGATTTTCAGAGGAGGAGATTAATGTGCAGGAAGCCTCGCAGCGCAACTGGAAAAGCTCGCTGGCTTTGCACATTTTCATGAGCTTCATGGCTCACTGTGTCAAGGTTATCTTCCTCAGACAGGAAGATGTGGATTTCCAATAGCGATGCAGCAAGCAGAAGGGCTGGGGTCTGACGGCAGCTGCTGAAGTGCAGAATTATCTGTGCCTGGAGAGCACGACTGCAACTGGGAGTTACAGCGGATGCAGGCACCTTTCCACTTTTTTTTTTTTGGCCTACTTGAGAAAATCCCCTATTTCAAATGGCCAGGTGGGATACGATGAAGGTGTTTTGCACCAATCTTTCTCCCAGATGGACAGTGTTTTCAGGTGGTGCTAACTTTGCCTGACCCAGACAGCAATCCTGTGTGTATCCCACAAAAGGGGAGGCAAGAGCCACCCAGATGTTTAGGTCTCAGGGAGAGGGAACAGTTTAATGTGTAGGTATGGCAGAAGCTGTTTGCAGAGTAATTTTGGCTCCATTTTAGTCCTCCCTTGCCAAGGCCATTCCCAAACTGCAAAAAAATTGCCAGAACCTCATTCCATCCTGCAGCTATTCCAGCACCAAGGGGAATGAAAAGATAATATTCCCTCCCCAAGGGGTTTCTGCTCTGTCTGACCATATTTAAAACAGTGTTGCTCTGCCTTGGTAAAGGGATGGGTCTTCTTCTTCAGTGTCTCTCATAACCTCTTGATTTCCTCTGCTTTTCCTTAAGCAGAGCCCTCAGAGTGATGTTGCACTTAAAAAAAACCCCAAAACCTGCAGTTCTTATTTTAAGGCAGCCATACCACACAGATTCTCGCTGGCAAAGCTTTTTTTCTCCCTGCACGCCCAGAAATCACCTTAGTGAGCCCTGGAGTTGATGTCATTGTTGTGGGGTTTTTTTTTTCAGGGAGGAGGGTGAAGCCCTGTTTTCCTCCACGCATACGTAAGGGATGACTTTGGAGTGAGCCTCAGCAAGAGGAAGTAATGGGCTGGGTTTCCAGCAAAGCGCTGGTGCCGCCAGCAGATCCTGCGGCGCCGAGCGGTGCCAGGGGACAGGCGGGAATCAGAAGGGGCAGAACAGAAGAGCAAAGCAGGGATGAGGGTACGGTGAGAGGAGCTGAGCTGCAGGAAAGCAAAGAGGTGGAAAACCAAGAGCAGGACGAAAGCAAAGGCATGGGCAGCCCAGCCCTCGCAACCTGGCCTGCACATGGGGGTATTGGTTTTTTTTTTTGGCATTATGGCAACTTCAGACCTTAGCAGCCTGATTCCTACCCCCTTTAATATGAGACTCCTGCCAAACTGAAGCCACCTTTGGGAAGCCTTTGAAAGCAGGGAAGCGTGTGCATTTTCGTGGCAAGTTGGAGGAGATCTCAGAGCAGGCTCATCTGCTTTTACTGCCCCTTGTAAAAGCAAGCCTCAAGCTGCCTGGTAAGTTTACACCGGTGTAAAACAGCCAGAAAAAAGACAAGGATCAGTGCCTGCTGTGGGAGGACGGCTGGGATTCGTCCTGCTGCGGATGCCCTGAGGACCTGCGCTGTCTCCTCATCCTCTCCCATCAGCAGCTCCCTCCTGCCTACCCATGTCCATGCACAGGTCCTTTCTTCAGTCACAGCACTGGTCTCCGCTTGGACAATATTCCTCTTTTGACTTAATTCTGTAACTGCTTTTAGGTGATGGGTTTTCCTCTTCAGGAAATTAGTAGAAGCTTAGCATTAAATACCATCCTTAAATACCAGCTACAGTCCTGTGCTCAGTAGACCACAAAACATAAACTTTGATGCTCGAGTAAGAAAAGGCCATTTTGTGGGGAAAAAGAGGACATCAGTTCTAATAAAAGCATTTGGCCTAATAAAAGGCCAAATCTCAACATAGATACTATTTATGGCCTTGCTGCTCACACAGTTGTGTCTGCGTGGACTATACGGAAAGTATCCTAGAAAGACAGCCTTCCTCTGTTAAGTTAATGGAAGGTCACAACTCACAATGTTAATCACCTACCCTCAGCCAGCGTGTTTCTATATATTTGCTTGTACCCAAAGTACCTGAGAGTTTTCCATATCTAATAATACAGATGATGATAATTTGCATGATAGACTGATTAAAAACACTGTTGTAGGTAAATGTGTCCACATTGAACAAGATGGATTTCACAGCTTGGCACCTGCTGGGAAGTCCTACCAGGCTGTGTCCCATCCAGAGAGGTAACCAGTTATCTGGCCGTGGTTTGGATGCCAGGCGGCACTCAGACCTTCTGGATAGCATGCGGTGGAGTACAGACAGACAGGCAGACAGATGGGGCAAAATTTGTCCAGGGCTCAGTCCAGTGAAAATGTTACTTCTATTAGTGTTAAATCCCTACTAAAGGTAAGGATTTTTCATAAGGCTTTTCCCCATCAGAATATGGGCAAAAGGGAGCAGAGCAGTCACAGGTGGCAAGTGATGTGCGCTTTGGATGAGGATGCTTTCCAGTGATCTGACAGAAGCTGTGGGACTTTTCGCAGCCATCCAACACTGTGGCCTGTGCCTCCCTGCCATCTCTGTCACGGGGTTGAAGCTGAGGTGTGAACATGGTGCAGCAATTGTGTTCAGCCATATTGGGCTTCGACTACTAAAATTGGAGTACGACTGTGAAGTCTGAGCCTCTAAAATGCTGAATGCTGGCAGCTGTCACTGTCTTCCAGGGAGTTATTTGTAGGGGAAAGGATGCAGGATCCATCCCTGGTAATGAAAGACGTATTTCTGTGCCCACCCGTGATGCTCACAGCATTTGTGTACTGCCCGTTCAAATATGCCAGATGGATCAGGAGCTTTTACTTGTGACCTGGAGACCTGGGGTCTCCTCACTGGCGAGGCTGATGGAGATGTGACCAGGGAGGGCACACATCTGAGAGCAGCAGTGTTATTGAGACTCGCCAACACTATTTCTCCTCCCAGCTACTTGTGGGGTGGTCGGGCACTTGCAGGCAATGACATGATAGACTGGCTGGTCTCTTCCAGCCTTTCTGTTTCTGCTGTTCCACACAGCTAGCCAAATGCTCAGACATACTTTAGATATCAAGGTTGCTATTTTGCAGGAAGTGCAATAGGTATCTTTCCACATTATATATCCTCTTAGATGACAGACGTATCTCTTGTTTCTCTGGGCTTCATCTGTATATGATGAGTGAGTGAGTGAGTCTGTGGCTGTGTTGGTCTGACAGGCACCTGAGCACAATGTGCTGCCACTCTCCTGTGAAGCCATAGGAAGTGTTTCACGATTCAAGATAAGAAAGACCTTCACTTCCTCCTTCTGTGCTTGCAGGGCTGAGCTGCCACCAAGGCTGCACCGTCCACCCCGACAGCCCGCTTGCAAAATGGACCAGGAAACCCTGGGAAGCATTGCCCTGCTCGCCATCGTCACCTTGATAAGTGTTGTCCAGAACGGTAAGACAAAAATAAGCATTTGTTTAAGGGCTAAAAGGGAGCTGAGAAAAGTTCAGGATGATGTATGCTGATCTGGTCTTTGGATAGATAATCCCTGGTTATAAGTGCATGTGTGCTTAGGCATGACTTTGGCTTTAGAAATGATCTTCTAAGCATATAATTTTGCATGCCATTGTGCAGTATCTTGGCAGTTGCATGGTCCTACTCTGTGATATTCTAGAGTGAGCTTGTTATACATATGTCAGCTAATGAAAGGAGTACCTTTCAGCTAAATATGCTGGGGTACCCTGTGACAATATGCATTTTGGTTTGAAGACTGAGACCTCCTTTCCTGGCTAAAGTTCCTAATGTGGGAAGCCAGGGCTGCTCTCTAGCCGGAGCCCTGCAGCCGTGAGCAGGGGCCAGGGCCCCAGGGGGCTGCGATGGGTCACACCTTTGCACGGAGCTGGGCAAAGGGGGCAAAACTGCACCAACACATCAGAGGAGTCTGTTTGGGTTAATTGTGGGCAGGCAGCTCTCCTGCTTTCCTGCGTCTCCGGGTACTACAGTCCAACTAATCTCAATCAACTGCGTTCCCAAGAGCACTGCGCATTTCCTGCAATGGAGAAGTTTCCTTTTTTAGCTCTTATTCAGACCTCTGTAGTCCCTGCTATTCTTCAGAATTTTTTGAATAAGACAACAAGTTTCTCTCTTGTGCAAATCTGGTTTTAACTTGATCATCATCTCTTACAAATACTTAATCATTTTAGCAGGAAATTCTGCCCAGAATACAGAGAAGGGAGTGAGTTTTGCCACAGCTGCACTGAGATCGCCCAGGTTCAAGGAGAGTCAGCAGTGGGATGGGGGGCTGATGCAAATGCTAGAAATCTTCTATGAAGGCTTCTTAGTACAAATGGGAGATTCCCACTGAGCGCAAACCCTATGTTCAGTCCTAGGAAATGGGCTATTTTGGGGCTGCTGCAGAGAGGGGAAGTCGTGGGAGCCTCAGCATAAGTCTAGCTGCCAGAGAGCGAAAAAAAGAGATGCAGACTGGTTTAGTTTTGACATAGGCACTAAATGCCACATTGTTTAACCCAATGCTGTTTTCTGGTAAATGCACAGTGTGTGATGTCACCAGAATATGGCACGTTGAGATCAGAGCACATACCACAATTAAAAAAATGTGTCAAATATACATTTCTTGCTATTTAAACAGATGACTTTATATACAGTTCTTTCCTCTCACTCTGAAACTCAGGCATTTGCCTTCCAGCCTGACACGCACTTTCACCTCATGGAAATTTGTCTCTGAGATTATTGACCCAACTGCTGCAAATGGGCAGTGCGGCGCTTGGCAGACAACTTAGCATGCCAAGCATGAGTGGCACACAGCCCTAAACCATGATTTCAGACCTTGCGTCATCTGATTTCCTCCTCCCAAGCTTTCTGTCTAGAAAGACCCAACTGATATGCAGTCCTGCAACAAATGCAATACTTAAGGCAATAGAAATGCTTATAATGGGATACCAGTTGTACTGAACTCTTCCTGTGGCTCTGGTTCAGCAAAGCACTTGGGCATCTGCTTGACTGTCTTTAAGTACATCAAGTCAGTACCGTGTCAATTCAGGTTTATATGCTTTTTTGCATCTGGTGCAGGATTAGAAAACAGTTTGGGTGAATGCTGTTATTCCCGAAGCTGGAGGTGGGCTGTGGTGCTGCCCCAGTCTGATGTCTCTTTACTGTCACCTTGTTCGTGTTGGAAATCTCCACATCCTACAGAATGACTCGTGTGGCCAGATGCCACTGAGTCACACATGTAGCTTTAGGTTTTGTTCTTGCATCAGAGAGATGTTGCAATTTAGCGGCTTTCAGGGCAAATTAGCGGTCATTGCTGAGCAGATCAGGACAGAGGAAGCAAAGCAAAGTCAACAGAAAGAAGAGGCAACCTGCATGTTTGCCAGCACTCACTAGGCTGAAGCTTCAGTGTGCGGTTTCTGTTGGCATGAACTTGTGAAACAGCCAGGCTTGGATTGAACTCTTGTATATTAACTTGACCAGAGTAGGACTGCAGTGGTTTCAGGCTCAGGGCAGCCTGTGCAGCCCTGAAGCCTCAGGGCATCATCTCCTGGTGCAGCTGAGCTGAATTAAACCCCTCAGCTCCAGCCCTGCTCCCCTCACTTATCTCATGCTGGCTTGTGAAACCACCCTCTTGCCTTGAGGTTCAGAGTAAAGAGCAGGAAACAAAACCATGGTGTCGCAAGCTGCGTCACACTGTAGGCTCCTGTTTCCCCAATGACAGGTTAACAGGAGCCCAATGTTCCTGAGATGTGAGCGCAGACCCGTGGTGAGGTCCACCCCTGGATGTGATCTGTCAGCTCTGCTCTGGTCCTTTGCAGAGCTTCAGCCCGGCTGAGCCTCAGACAGCTGGGACCCACCTCTTGGGCTGCCTCCTGGGGAGATTCTGGGAGCCTGCAGGGCCTGTGAGGTTGACAGGGCTAAGGAGCCACAGAACTGGGGACCCACTTTCAGGGCAAAAAGCTCACTTGAAACAGGAGGCTCTACCTCTCTGTATGACGGTGAGATGCTGGGTTGCCTTCTGATTTACTGCTCTCACCTTGGGGATCCATGTGGTCCTGCAGAAATACAGCTGCTGCAGTGTGTTGGAGGTAATCAACCCAAGCATTTTCTCTAGTGAAGAGGTGGACATCTCGTGTGAGGTGGTTGTCTAAGCTCTTTCTTGGGTCAATGGAGAAAGATTAGCACTTCAGTGGGGTAGTTTCTCTCATGCCAGTAGCTCTCTGAGGGATGGATTGACGTCTGGAGGTGCCTTTCCTCTGTTTTCCTCTGTCACCCACTGTTTACAGAAGGAAAACATCCATCTCCCCAACACTTCTCAATGTCTCTGAAGTGAGGTGAGACAAAACCTGCTCCTCAACCATGGAGCAGGTATACGTGATAACATGTCATAGTTTGACCCCAGCCAGCAACTAAGCACCACACAGCCGCTCGCTCACTCCCCTCCCTTGGTGGGATGGGGGAGAGAATCGGAAGGGTAAAAGTGAGAAAACTCGTGGGTTGGGATAAAGACAGTTCAATAGGGAAAGCAAAAGCCGTGCACGCAAGCAAAGCAAAACAAGGAATTCATTCACCCCTTCCCATCGGCAGGCAGGTGTTCAGCCATCTCCAGGAAAGCAGGGCTCCATCATGCATAACGGGTACTTGGGAAGACAAACGCCATCACTCCGAATGTCCCCCCTTCCTTCTTCTTCCCCCAGCTTTATATGCTGAATATCCCTTTGGTCAGTTGGGGTCAGCTGTCCCAGCTGTGTCCCCTCCCAGCTTCTTGTGCACCCCCAGCCTACTCGCTGGTGGGGTGGTGTGAGGAGCAGAGAAGGCCTTGACTCTGTGCAAGCACTGCTCAGCAGTAACTAAAACACCCCTGTGTTATCAACAACACTGTTTTCATCACAAATCCAAAACATAGCCTCCTACTAGCTGCTATGAAGAAAATTATCCCAGCCAAAACCAGTGCATAACCCTACCTCTGTCCTTTGCCCTAATGCCCAGTCCGTTGACCAAGGATCCGTACGCCACATCAGAGACAGCAAGAGCTTCCAGGACAGATGCCTAGACCTCCACAGCCAGATCCTTCCCAGGAGACCCAGCACCCCCATGCCTGCCCAGCTCTGATCCTAGAGACTGTGCACCAGCAGTATCACCACTGGCACCTCCAGGTTCTTGTCCTCAGTGACCACCATCACATTGGACATGTCTGGGTTCAGCCTGACGGCTCTCAGCATCGTGGAGCCTCTCTGCATTGGCACACTGGTGTTTGGGAAGTGGCAGCACCTGTGGCGGTGGAGGGAGAGATATATTTAGCTTACTCTTGGCTTTCTCTGAAGCTGTGGCATCTTCTAGTGATTTCACGTACATGCTAAAAGGAAGGGAGGAGGTATGCTACATATCCCAGTGAGCCCATGCAGTCCCAGACCTGCAGGAAGTCGTTTCCCGTCACAGCAGCTTTGCACTGTAAAAAAATTCCCGTCCAACCTAGTCCTCTTCAACTAGGTCCTCTTATACACCATAGGCAGGTTGTATATGCCAAAGGCTGGCGTGGTGTGCAGATGGAGATGCCGGGAGCTCTTGGTGGCTGTGCTTCTGCTCTGGGTCCCCCAGCTCCTCCAGGAGCCGGCCAGTGCACCGCACTGGTGGCAGTGGGAGGGTCTGCAGCCTGGCTCAGAGTGGGGACGCTGGCTTAAAGCACGGCGGGATTTTCTGGAGAAAGGCTGAATGTACCCAGGGAATCACTCAATGTTGGAAGGCAAAAGACTCAGTAGCTTTTAGTGAAGGCAATGGACGTACAAAAGACCTACTTACAGCATCAGTGAGGGGAAAAAAGAGGTAACTTCAGATTCCAGGGATGAAATCCTGCAGCTTATCAAGTTACACTTCTATTGTTATAATAATATCTTTCCTGATGGGTTATCTTTTATATATATCTTTGGCTAATATTCTAAACCATAGAGCTATTTGGGTACACCGAGATGGGATGCACGATAATACAAAGCTTGCAGCTTGTAGCCTGTCAGGGCTCTATCTATCTGGTGTATTTAGACACATGATTGATGGTCTCTGGTTTAGTGTCATCAGATAAAACATGTTTGTCAAGTGCTTGATACATTATCTTGAGGTGCTGCATTTTTGCAGCAGCTAACACCCTGACATAATGCTGTTGCTTAAAAGGAGGATACACACAAGATGGACACACAGAGATCAGCCATCAGGACCAGGTTTTCAATGGGCCTTTCTGGAAAATGAACCAGCCCTGCAGCAGAGTGAGAATTGGGTTTGGCAGCTCTGCCTAGAAAGCTTTTTTCCCACTGGGGGCACAAAGGACCAAGTCTGGGCTGTACTTCTGCAGCAGACAGAGGTGAGGGCTGCCAGAAGTGCAGTGCAGGGATGAAGCAGGGCTCAGGGGTGAGAGCCTGCTGCCAATCACATACAAACACGTGGGGATGTCTGAGGTCACATCACACTGTGCCCTTGCACAGAGGGTTTGGTTATACCTCGCTGGCCACATCCTGCACCTCCACGCACCCGTGTCCTCTCCTGCCATCCAGCCTGGATGCTCGCAAGAGCAGAGCTAAGCCCACAAAGCCCAGCTCCTGCGATATCTCCAAATTACATGTCAGATCGAACACTGTGTTTTTTTAACAGCTTTTTTTGCTAGCAAAGTGGAGCATGAAAGCAAGCACTGCAATGGCAAGGGGTTCCAGCGGCCGGGATCCTCCGCCTTCGACCGCGTCTACACTGCCAAGTGAGTAGGCAAGCCCTGAGAAGCCAGTGGGGGCAGAGCGGGATTCATCTCTCTCTTTGTTACGGTTTAATCCAAACCCTTTCGGGGTTCAGACTTTGCTCTGCAGTCCCATTGCCGTGTGCACTGCAGTGGCGTTTAGACCCACATTTCTCCAGCACGTTTGCTGGTGAACCCAGCTCCTTTCTGGACACGAGGTGCTGTATTTATATTGGACTTGCAGCCCTTATGTCTATTACGTCCCTTCATTTGGGAGCCCGTTCACCCAGCAGTAGCTAATGCTGGAAGTGTGATACGAGCACAGCTGGTGTCCCGAGGGCACTGTGGCTCAAAAGGAAAGAGCCAGCAGAGAGCTGCTGACTTGCTGAGGAGCAGGTCGGTGGCAGAGCCCATACAAACCCCTCGGTCCCCGGGCAGCTCCCTCGGCACACAACTCTCTGCTTCTCTGCCACATCGGTACCTCTTGTCTTTGAGATCACTTCAGGGAAAGCAGAGGGAAAATTAATTCCAACCCAGAAGAAAAAAGAACATAAAATATTTTTTATTACCTGTGGAGTACTGATGATATGCTTGAAACTGGATGGGATGTCCAAGTGCTGCCCTTCACAGGTGTGCAACCTCTGCCAAGGGCAGAGCGCTTCCCCCTCAGAAAGCATTCCCAGCCAAAAGAGGCAGCTGGAAATCATTCCTGTGCCCCTGCAAAGACACATGTTAATTCTGTGAGACACTCCTTTTTGTGGTGTGATTCTCCTTTTGTTGGTTTCCCGCAGGTTTCAATGCCACTAACTTGATTAATATGACTTAAGTACAAGGATTTTCCAAGCCAATAAAGCACACAGCATCTATTATACATGTGCCATGATCAAACAGGTTAGAGGAAGAAAGTGGCTTTCACAGGTTCCAGGCATGTGCGTGGGGCGGTTTGTTTTCCTCATCAGGCAGGACAAAGGTATCCATTATCCGAGTGAGGGAACAGGGAAGCAGACCTGTGGGCGAGGCAGCCGCCGTGTTCGGGCACAGCCATGCCAGCCAGACCCCGGCAGCTGCCTGCCGCAGGTAGGTCGGGGGCCTCCCACCGCTCTGGGGTAAAAGCCCACCTGCGGCAGCATTAGCGCAGCCCAAATTCACACCCCACCATCCTTTGTTCATGAAACATGTTGATTTTGTTTCTATTTTCCCTGTGTTCTGATTTCTCTCTGACAAATTCCTTTCTAGCCAGAACTGCGGACACACGTACCCTACGTTTCTGGCCGTGCTTTGGTGCGCTGGCCTTCTCTGCAGCCCAGGTAACACACAGGTTTTTTTTTCTCTCTTCGACCTTGCACCATTTTCAGCAAGGGATGGAGTGAGAATTTCAGAGGTTACCCTTCCAGGGACCAAATTCTCCTGCAGCGGGGGGACGAGTCTCACGTGGCTGTCCTGCAGCTACCCATGCTGTTTAATCAGCAGCACACTACCTGGCACGGTTTATGCCAACAGACATGTTCCCAGACATGATTGCGGACAGTCCAGGCCAGTAACATTTCCCATATAGGCGTTACGGACGAGATCCCTCTGTTCTGGATGGAGGGTTTAGTACTTGGATGCTGGATGCTGTGTTATTCACCTCCGGGACTGGAAATAGGCTCATTTGCTTAAATTGCCAGAGCTGCCAGCCCTTCCCAGCGCTGAGGGCAGCCCAGGAGTATTTACCTGCATTTCTAAGTATGATCCCCTTTAATGCAATTTGAGTTTTCCTAAAGTTAAGATGAGTACTTTCCTGGGGTCCGTGGCTATTCTTTCTGGAAGAGAGGAGTTTCCTGACCAGGAGAAGAAGGGCTGTTGCCTGCAGGTGTGGGGAAAGCTAGAATTAGGGGGAAAAGGGGAAAAGCCCCTTTTTATGTGCTCAGAAATGAGTATTGAACCATAGTATAGTCCTCCACCTGCTCCTACAGAAGTACATCTATTGGCTGCCTTTTATTTCTGGTGAAGGCAATGCCTGAGCTGGCACCCTCCTTCCTGAGCCCAGCGTGACACACAGCGGGCTTCTGCAGCAGGCACAGCCGTGGGCAGGATTACACCCACAAAGTCTTCAGAAAAGCTGGTGTGAGGGCAAGGCAAGTGCTCTGTTCGCCACGCAAAGGTCACTGTGCTTCCAGTGACCGTCCCATAGCCCAAGGCTGCAGGTTCCCATTTCCCGGTCCAGTCCAGGCAGCAGATGGGGACAGTCCTTACAGAGAGACCTGTGCTGCTGTCTGTAATGTGTTGTTTTACCCTTTACCTAGCTCCTGCCGCCTTTGCCGGCCTGATGTACTTGTTTGTGAGGCAGAAGTACTTTGTGGGCTACCTCGGGGAAAGGACTCAGAGGTAAGGACTTGCAGAGCCTCTTTACAAAATCAGACATGACAAGTGCGGTGGCACCAGGGGTCAGGGGAGCTGCAGGAACAGAGTAGTTGCTTCAGCAGCTCCTGCTCACAGCCTCTGCAAATGCACGCGTTTGTGTGTTTGTGCTACTCTTTGCATAAGATCTTCCTTTTATGTTGATAAAACTTGTTATGCACATGTGGAACAAGATTGTCCCACAGCCTTTGATGGCTGAGAAGATGTACGGGTCCCTCTGAAGAGCCACTTTTGTAAGCAGCGGCCTATGCTGAGCACAGGAGGCTAAATCCAGACCCAAACAGATCCTGAAAATGGCATTTAAGAGCTCACAGCTGACTAGAGCAGCAATGTGAGGCAGAGCAGACATTTGCCCCCTCCATCTCAGCCCCCGAGGTGTTTCAGCTGGTATCAACAGCGGAGTCCAAAGTCTGAAGGCTTCTCGCGTGAAGTGATGTATGTTAACGAATTGCTTTCCCCCTTTTCTGTCTCGTCAGCACTCCTGGTTACTTGTTTGGAAAGCGCATCATTTTGTTCCTGTTCCTCATGTCCGTGGCTGGAATACTCAACTACTATCTCATCTGCTTTTTTGGAAGTGACTTTGAAATGTACATAAAAACGATAACCAACGCGATCTCTCCGTTGCTGCTCATCCCGTAGCTCCCTGCAGCACTGAGGGGGTCAGCATGCTTAATATATCGATACCCAGAAGCAGCCATAATTCAAGTGCTTAAGAAATGAACCCGTAACACTTTTAGATTGCTGTAAATCTCATGCTTGATGGGATTTGTAGTTTGATTTAACCTTGCTTTTTCCTTCAAGAAAAAGATTTATTGTGAGCACTTGGCATGCCCAAGGAATGGTAACAACTTCCAGTTAATTCTTTAGAGTTTTTTTCCATAAGTGCAGCTTGCAAGCTGATTGCATGGCTGGAAGGGACTTTGTATGCTTGCTTCATAACTGCATTTTACTTAGCTTTTGTCCCAAAACCCAGGAGCCTCTCAGTGTCATTCCTGACCGATGGCTCCCACAGTTATCCTCATGCACAGGCACAGCCTTTTGCCAGCATCCCACACGACCCTGCCCACGCAAAAGCATGGACCAGCCTCTTCACCTACCCTTTCCATCCCACTTGTTGATGACTGAGCTGCCGCTGCTGCAGGAGGGTGGCAAATTGGGTCCTGTCTGGTCTTCCGTGATAAATATTCATGTGTGTAATGCTCCCAGCACTGCAGCCTTTTTGTTCTCCCAGAGCTGTGGAAAGGGGTCTTGCGTAAATGAGGAGCTGGTGTATTGACAGTGGGGTTGGTTTTGTTTTGCTTGCCTTTGTTTAATAAAACAGACTAAAAGGATGAAATCTGTTTGCTCCCATCTTCTTTGCCTGGTGCGTGATCCCAATGCTCCACGACTCGGCCGCTGGCTGGTGAGTGGAGCAACGGGAGCAGCACCGGGCTCTTTGTGCGAGCTGCTAATCACCCTGGGCACGGCCTCGCAAGGACTTGAGTTTAACAACTCCCTCTCTATTAGCAAGTTCAATTTTCTGCCTCCATCACTAACTGTGTCCCTACAAGTCCATACCAAGGAGCGGTTTGATTAGAGAAGCGGACCGAGGTAGGCAAACAGGCCGGCGCAATCTTTTTAAACATTGCTACCCTATGAGTGCTTAAGCTCTTAAGCCTGTCTGATTACCGCATGCAGGATGGATAAAGCTGTATTTTATGACTCCTTTGGGAGGGACAGAGACTCCTTGCTATGTGAGAAGAGGGTTTGCAGAGCTGTTTGCAAAAGCAGGTGCAGAAAGCTGCCTGCCTTTGTACCACATCAAGGCTGGCAGGTTTTGTTGCTGCCTGATGGGACAGAGGCGCTTGTGCATGGCTGCTCTCCTCTGTACCTGACCATTCGCACTGCCAAAATAACACACACCCTTTTTTTTCTTATCTTCTACAGGAATTTTAGATGTGAAAGATTAGTAATAAACATTTATTGCATGATGATTAGCTAATAAATGTTCTTAGTGGTTAGGATAGGTAATTAAAAAAATATAATCTAACCTTCTAACCTATAGCTGCTGAGACACCTTATTCCTGGGCACAGCACTTATGTTCTTTCCCTCCCCTCCTTCTCAAACCACTGTAACACACTCCAAACCCTGCTTCACACCATGCTTCTCTGCCACCCTCTCTCTCCATAGCTCATCGGCAGCCACCTGTCCTTGGTGGTGACCCACCACCCCTCTGCCCTGTGGGTTCAGCCCACCAAGGGCTGGCAGCACCTCAGGAGGAGAGGGGTAACCCCTGTGGTCTGGAGTTACAGAGCTCTTTTGCATTGCTGGTATCAGCAAAGGCTGACGCTGCCACCACTGTTACTCAGTTCAGAGGAGGAAATGCTTCACCAGCACCACAGTCCCTGCTCTCCAGTCTGCACACCAGTCTGGTGTCCCTGAAGTCTGAGATTGTTTATGGAGATCATAACTTCTGGGAGGTGGCTTTCCCAACCCTATGTGTCCACCTTGCAGGTCTCCCCACCTGGATGAGTCTCCCCTGGTGCCTTTTTGTCCTGTACAGCAGGAGGCAGCTCACTCAACCTCCTTCTGATGTCTCCTGCTAGCATGAGAAGAGGTGCTCCACCAGCCAGCTATAAAGGGCAGAGGATTCAAATGTCTATTTTGGGTCAGATAATCTATGCCAGCACTCTCAGGCCTCTCTGTTGACTCGACAGTTGGTTTCTACACAGCTGTATTTAGGTAAGATCAGGTCAACTTCCAAGGGAACGAAGACCCATGTTTTGCTGTAATAATTTATTTTGCAAGAATATCTCCTACTTACTTTCTCAAAGCCTTTCTGATAGCAAAAGAGATGAAAATGTAGGCAAAATCTGTTTCCTATCTATCTATAAATGGAAATGGCGATAGTATCAGACAAACAGGTGGTACATAAATCTATCACTCTGTAAATTCTCTGTGAACATCACGCTGTGTTTTCCATGTTACAGGCAAGCCTTGTGGTTACATTTGCCTTCCCACTCTTTCTATGAAAGGAAGGCAATGTCAGTGCTATTTGGGCTTTCCCCACTGTGTTAGACAACTCCAGTTTTTGTTTTCGGCACCAAAACCACCCTGTTCTGGGCAGTACAGTTGCCAGCACTTTGCACACCAGCTACTCAGAAAGCCACAAACATAGGCTCATTGCAGGGGGGTTGGACTAGATGACCTTTAAAGGTTCCTTCCAACACAAACCCTTCTATGATTCTATAGATCCACATGCAAAAATACATACGCTACTGTAAAAGATATGCATACTGGGGTCACATACACATGAACTCACTAGGACCTACTGAGCTGCATTGGACGTGGGGACATGACTGGTGGCAGAACTGGCAGTCCCCTCTGACGGCTCCCGTTCAAGGCTTGCTTGCAAGCTCCAGGGGCCAGCACCCACATTTGGCGCAGCGCCAGCATGGCAGCTCCTGGCCTGGAGCTGGGGCTGTATGCCAACAGCCATTGCTTTCCCATCCTGCTGATTGCACCGATACTGCTAATTGTCCCGTTCGTGTTGCCAGGCTGTGGGCTTTCCTCCACCAGAGGTGCCCCGGCTCCTAGCGATGGCGTGCCACCACCATGCCGCATGGCTGTTCGTGCATCGAAATACCAGGTACACAAATAAACATAGTGTCTGTGTGTGTATACGCATAGACACAGTGTATTTACTTACTATATCTGTGTGTGTGTGTATGTGTATATATATAGTAGGTGCTGAGTCATGTGAATGGTAGAGGCTTTTCAGGGAAGGCAGGGAAGCGGGTTGCTCAGGCACCAGCCCTCTCGCAGCTTGCAGGCTGTGTACATGAGAGACTGCAGAGACTGCTGGAAGCCGGGCTGTCGCAGGATGCTTTTGATCCGCTGACAAAGGCCTGGAGTACATACAATATTACTGCCACAGTAACCACATCTGCTTCCGCACAGCACTACAACCCTCTAGTGGAAACTCGGCCCTATCGGCACGCCGGTGCTTCTGGCCATGGGATGAACCGTTCCTTTGAGGTTTGAAGGCTGACGGTGATGCAACGGCATCCACATTTCTGAACAGATGTGTTGTTGCTATTGAATGCTATTTTTTACTATTCTGGCATGTAGGAGCCCCGGTCCTGAAGCGGGATCCCCATCCCACCCATCACAAAATGAGCAGTCCTGCTTAGCACAGGGTCCGAGCAAGCAGGTAACATCCAAGTGGGATGAGAAATCTGTGTGTACCACCCACAAGGGTTTCCTGCAGTATTTCCCAGATTCCCAGTTTCCCAGAACTTGCAAAATTGGCCTGTGCGGTATCAGCTCGGTCTGAGTCACGTCTGCACCAAGTCAAGTTTCCAAAGAGTCTCTGAGGATCTGGAGAACAGTTCTGCTAGTGTGGAGCAAAGACTGGCCCTGGGCAGCTTCTTCAGCTCTCACCTGCTCTGAGATTACTTTCTTTTAGCAGAGCAGCTGGTTTAACATTCACAGAAACCTTTCAAATGCCCTGTGAGGATGGGATGCTGCAAAGCATTGAGCACTAGCCCAAGTCAGTGCTGTGCCTTTTGCAGACTGCGGTGGGAGCAGGATTAGGCCATGCGGGGAATGCTTGGAAATAGTCCACCCTCGATAAGTGAAAGGGCAGTACAGAATGAGAATAGTGGTAAAACCATGCCCTGGGTGATTTTAAACTGGTCTCATGTCCCAGCAGGAGTGAGCAGGGTGAGCATTCCCATGGAAAAGCTCCTTGGTGAGCTGCAGAGCCCAGCAGCACCTGCCCAGCGTCCTTGCAGAGGACATGCTGACACCAGGGAGGGGGAAGGACTTTGGAGGCTGTGACATCCCTTCGAGGCACCCGGGGTACATGTATGAGCTTCACCGTCCCTTTGGGTAATGACGACTGCTGTCCCTGGGGCTGTTGGGGAGGGTGCAGAACACCTCAGCTGTGGCTCCTCTCAGGGCGGTTTGGTGTCTTGAGGGATTAGGATGGAGAAGCATCCTCTGCACTACTAACTGGCTGCAGCAGAGAAAGAGCTGCTTTTAGCAGTGCCGCCGTGAACACCAGGAAAACACGTCCCACGGAGAGGAACAGCTCGAGCCGGTGCCCGACCTTTGCCCCTCAGTGTACCTGCCCCGGCAGAGGGAGGCTGCAGGCTGGATGGCATCAGTACTGCTCCATTCATCCTGCCTGCCAGAGCACCTCACTGCTCCCAGCCAGCACGCAGAGACACGAAAGCTGGCAAAAGTGAGATTCCTGCCCCAAAGGACAAACAGCCTCCACAGTGAGCTGTTTTTCCCCTGTAGAGGAGAAGTAAATAACTTCTCAATTTCAGCTGCGAGGATCTTCACACTGTGAGATGATTTCATCAGACAGACGAGCTCCCGGGGCTTTGTGCTGGCTGCCTACTGAGCTGCTCAGATGCCATCCGCTGGGTGCTTCCCACTCGTCCCAGGGGGAAGGAGACCAGACACCAATGGGCCAGCCGTGATGTGGGGCGTGGAGAGCAAACGGGCTGTGGTTTTCACTTTAAAAAATCAAGGCGTGATGGGATTGCTGTGGAGTTAAACTCACGGTTACAGCAGTGCCGTTTCTGCCATGTGGGAACCGGCAGGGACTGCTTGCGCTCTGAGACCTTTTGCAAGGCCAGGGGATGCTTTGGGAGGCTGCCGCCTGCTGCGCTGCTATCTGCCACCACTCATACAAACATGCGGCTGATTTATTGTTCCTGTGTTTTCCCAAGAGAGTGCCACAGCTGCTTTCGTCCCCAAACAATGTTTTCTGTGCTTTTGGCACAGCACTTCAGAGGGGAACAGTCTGACCCAGCAAGAGCCCCCTCAGTGCTCTGGGATTAAGCAGAGCAGCACGATGTCTCTTGGCCAGCTGCTTCACGCTTTTCGTTTGTGCTGCAGCAAAGGAATTTCTTTTCAAAAGGCATCGATAGAGTTAGTTTTCCCCCTAGTAGCTGGTACAGTGCTGTGTTTTGGATTTAGCATGAGAATAATGTGATAACATGCTGATGTTTTAGTTGTTGCTAAGCAGTGCTTACACTAAGTCAAGGACTTTTCAGCTTCCCATGCTCTGCCAGTGAGGAGGTGCACAAGAAGCTGGGAGGGGGCACAGCCAGGACAGCTGACCCAAACTGGCCAAAGGCATATTCCATACCACATGACTTCGTGCTTAGTACATAAAATGGGGGGACTTGGCCAAGGGGCAGCCATTGCTGCTCAGGGACTGGCTGGGTGTCCGTTGGCGGGTGGTGAGCGGTTGCATCACTTGTTTTTCCTGGGTTTTGTTTCTCTCTCTCTTTTTGTTGTTTTCCTT